GGGAGCCCACCTTGGGGATCCCCCCCCCCCCCCCCGTGGCCTTCTTGAGCATCAGTACATGTTTTAACCTTTTGTAATGGTTATACACGAGTCCCTCAGTTGTCTTCAGTGTTAAAAGATGGATTTCAAAATCATACAGTCAATGTTGGAAAGGGTTCAAATATGCAGAAGATGCTGGAAAATCAAAGCCCGTGCAGGAGCTGGGGGATTTTTCTGAAGAACAGCAGGCAGTTGAACTGCTCAGGACAAACAAGGGACTCATGAACAACTATCACAAAATATCAAAAAGTCATGGATCATCCAGGAAACAACACAAAGTATTAAGATTCAAATGGAGTCAGTTTTATAAATTCAGTTATTATTTTGTCTTGTGGAGGATATGTAAACATCTGTTATGTGAAACAGCTTATTCAGGACAGTACTAAATAAAAAACAACATGCAATTTTCATGATCCCTCTTATTTTGTTTCAATTATTAACATTTTGCACATTCTGCAAAGCACAACTGTGTATATATATATATATATATAAAATAAATAATTTATGAGCAATTTAAATATTTATATACAACTTATTTGAGTGTTGAACCTCATTTTGTATTTTTTTGGGCTAAATAAGAACTCTAATTTTGATCTTACTTTTTGGGTAAATAAAAAAATTCAGTAGATCACTAGTCCAGATTGACATCCAGCACAACCAATTAGTTTGTCCGTGCACAGATGGGAAGAGTGCAATGTGTCTGGTGCGGAGCCAGCTGGGCACAGGCGGCCTGCTGGAAGCTCTGTTGAGCGGTGAAAAGAACCCAAGCGGCACTCGTTTGACCCGGCCATGAGCGCTATCATTAACCTCAACAATCACGAGTGCTTTGCTGTTCTGCACTCTTCTAACGCTCGAGTCAAACATGCCAGGTGAAATAACCTTACGGTACTGAAAATGCCTTCCATTAAAGGCGAGCTCTTCATCAGAGGTTTGCATAGCAGATACTCAAGTATACGGATACATGCAGTTCAGAAATATCTCTTGCCAAACGTGCTCCTCCCCTCTTGCCCCGAGCTCTGCTAGTGCTATCCCACTCATTCTCCATGAGATTTTGGGGCCGAGGTATTTATAGAGTATTATAGTATTCTTAGCTCTTGTTTCCATGCATCTTGCAGTGCTTGTGCAATGCAAATATAAAGCACAGTAAGGCCCTTCCTCCAGTGTAAGTGTGTAGAAGTCCCAGCTCCTGTTTCCAATCTCTCTGCAGCCAAACACAACTTACACTGGAGCTCGTTCTTCCTCTGCGTCTCCCAGCAGTCGTGACCTCAAGCAGCTCTCACCCGACTTAAATAAACTATACTGAGACTGGGCTCAACATTTGGACAGCACATGAAAGCAGTCCTTAAAGAGCCCCTTGACATTAAAATGGGACGATGGACCTATATGATAGCCTTTTTTGCGTCAATGACCCAGATTTTACATTGGACATACAAAGAGCCTACACAAAAATGGGTGTCACACCCAGGATCCATGTTTCACAATGTTCCATAATCATACCTGACTGTGTGGTTAGTAATCAAGTTTCAAACTTTTACTTTGCATTTGTAAACCACTGACAAATGTACTTTACAAAGGTGGCACAGAAGCGCGTATGAAGTGGCATTTAGGTGTCTTTACACAGACTGTTTAATGATGCTCAGAGGGGGCAAAAATTTATTTAATCGCATAACTTGACCTTTCATGCTGTGTCTTTACAAAATTTTGAGCAGGCACAGAGCAGCCTTAACTTGGCTTATTATGTGGTTTATAACATTGATTGCACAAATACAGTACAAGTGCGCAACTTTGCTAATAATGTGAATAACTGCCTGATTGCAATTATTCAATCTAATTGCAGTTATTATTTTGAAATTTAAAGTCACATATTTAATCCAAATAAGGGAATTTAACCGTACAGAAATGCAATAGCGAGTTATGCAGTGAATGTTTTGGTATAATGGTCTTTTTTTAAGAAGTCAGACTAGCATAAAATGATGTGTGACACTAAAGAATTTAAGAAATGTGTTGATCATACATTCCTATATTCACAACAAAAATGACATATTACAATAACACTAAATTATCATGTATTATTCATGTAATATTCCAAAAATACCAGCATGAATGAAAAGTGAATTGAAGAAAAATCTAAAGAACAACATGATATGCGTCAGCTCATATGAAACTCTTACCAAGGCAATTTTTATCTATAATTCCCAGAAGGTGCTCTTATTCTCTTTTGAATGTGTTGACTGTTTTAAGAGGCAGTTATATTATGAGGCAATAGCATTTTGCAGGTTATTGCTTATGTGCCTTTGAGGAAATTATGCTGAACGGATTAATCATTGTTGCCATGGTAACTATGGATATTCCCAACCATGCACAGCCACGATGTCCGTCGCCCCTCCCGGAGCAGAACTCGACAGGAAGTAACCGCTGCTGCTTTTCGATTATTGCTCTGACAACTGGATGCAAGGCACTTGAACGTAACTGGATTTAACAGGTCCTTCAAGATAAAGTGAGCACACAACACACCATCGGGACTACGTCTAATTAAGATTTTATTGAGCAATGTAGGGTTGTGCAGTGGAGACACCTACACACATCGAGTAATTTGATGGAGCCGCACGTTACTGAGGTGTGGCAGCTATGCCTGAGTAATTACTGCAGTGTGCCACTACATATCAGCTGTTTCTCAGTATGGCTCAGAAACCACAGACCTGCAAGCCATAACACCACACAGAACATGCAACCTTGTACAACAACATTTCCTAGAAGTACGTTCTGGATGCAGGGATGAAATCAGAGAAGTTGACAATCTGAAGAGCCTATGAAGAATTTTAGTCAGACCACCTTCAAGAAATGAAGCAAATACTCACACGTCATTGAATCCTGCTAGAGAGGTAGCGGGCGAGAAAGCATCTAGTAGACCAATTACCTGCAAGACAGACAAGAGTCATAAATTAGTCTGAAACATGACAACATTAAACGATTAAGGACAGATCATTTTAAAGTCTAAACTGCATTTTAAAGTCTAAACTGCTTTGCTAAACTGCTACTGGGGTAATTGCTTACATCGCAATGTTAAAAATATTACTGTTTTAAACCATGAAGGCAAGCCAATGGATATCAAACTTTGCGCAAGAGTTATGCTGGTGAACATCTTAATCTCAGTCAATTCACTATGCGGTCAGTAAAAGTAAAAAACGGAATGACGGAGTAATGACGGAGCTTTCGGCATCTGACGCGGCATAATCTCTCAGAGACGACAAGAGTCGAATCTACTTCAACATATGCTAATGGTATATAGCTAATTTTTTATTTATTCCTTTAATTTTCTTGTGGCCTGTACATATTGAAAAACAAAAGAAACACATTTCATGTTAAACAGGTTGTTTTTGAAAGTCGGTGCGTTTTTATTGATGACTGCAGTTTTAATATTTTAATCATAGGCCTATAATTCATTGTATAATAGACTTGTTTTTATAACATGGTAATTGAAAAGTAAATAGCCTAATCTTTTGTTATCCTTGCAGCGCGTCAATTATGCGGTAATACTGCGGGGCAAATTAATTGTAATTTTAATTTAATAATAAAAGTAACTTAATAATAATCGGCCTAATGAAAATAGGAATGTAACCGGCCTACATTAATTGGAAATGCCAAATCCTCTTAATATTGCCAATAATTGTTGTTTTTGACAATATCTCTGGCTATCGTCGAGATCATCGTCTTTCGACACACCCCAGCAAGGGGAGGTTATCGCGGGGCTGTCCGCTACGCCACTGGACAGACAGCACGTTGCCCGTTACGTCGTTTAGGCTGTCTTGTTGAGCGCAGTGGCACTGAGAACATTATATTTCACACTTTAAGCTCTTTTATTTTCCAAATGTAATAGGATTAGTCCAATTCTGCACTCTTCTAACGCTCGAGTCAAACATGCCAGGTGAAATAACCTTACGGTACTGAAAATGCCTTCCATTAAAGGCGAGCTCTTCATCAGAGGTTTGCATAGCAGATACTCAAGTATACGGATACATGCAGTTCAGAAATATCTCTTGCCAAACGTGCTCCTCCCCTCTTGCCCCGAGCTCTGCTAGTGCTATCCCACTCATTCTCCATGAGATTTTGGGGCCGAGGTATTTATAGAGTATTATAGTATTCTTAGCTCTTGTTTCCATGCATCTTGCAGTGCTTGTGCAATGCAAATATAAAGCACAGTAAGGCCCTTCCTCCAGTGTAAGTGTGTAGAAGTCCCAGCTCCTGTTTCCAATCTCTCTGCAGCCAAACACAACTTACACTGGAGCTCGTTCTTCCTCTGCGTCTCCCAGCAGTCGTGACCTCAAGCAGCTCTCACCCGACTTAAATAAACTATACTGAGACTGGGCTCAACATTTGGACAGCACATGAAAGCAGTCCTTAAAGAGCCCCTTGACATTAAAATGGGACGATGGACCTATATGATAGCCTTTTTTGCGTCAATGACCCAGATTTTACATTGGACATACAAAGAGCCTACACAAAAATGGGTGTCACACCCAGGATCCATGTTTCACAATGTTCCATAATCATACCTGACTGTGTGGTTAGTAATCAAGTTTCAAACTTTTACTTTGCATTTGTAAACCACTGACAAATGTACTTTACAAAGGTGGCACAGAAGCGCGTATGAAGTGGCATTTAGGTGTCTTTACACAGACTGTTTAATGATGCTCAGAGGGGGCAAAAATTTATTTAATCGCATAACTTGACCTTTCATGCTGTGTCTTTACAAAATTTTGAGCAGGCACAGAGCAGCCTTAACTTGGCTTATTATGTGGTTTATAACATTGATTGCACAAATACAGTACAAGTGCGCAACTTTGCTAATAATGTGAATAACTGCCTGATTGCAATTATTCAATCTAATTGCAGTTATTATTTTGAAATTTAAAGTCACATATTTAATCCAAATAAGGGAATTTAACCGTACAGAAATGCAATAGCGAGTTATGCAGTGAATGTTTTGGTATAATGGTCTTTTTTTAAGAAGTCAGACTAGCATAAAATGATGTGTGACACTAAAGAATTTAAGAAATGTGTTGATCATACATTCCTATATTCACAACAAAAATGACATATTACAATAACACTAAATTATCATGTATTATTCATGTAATATTCCAAAAATACCAGCATGAATGAAAAGTGAATTGAAGAAAAATCTAAAGAACAACATGATATGCGTCAGCTCATATGAAACTCTTACCAAGGCAATTTTTATCTATAATTCCCAGAAGGTGCTCTTATTCTCTTTTGAATGTGTTGACTGTTTTAAGAGGCAGTTATATTATGAGGCAATAGCATTTTGCAGGTTATTGCTTATGTGCCTTTGAGGAAATTATGCTGAACGGATTAATCATTGTTGCCATGGTAACTATGGATATTCCCAACCATGCACAGCCACGATGTCCGTCGCCCCTCCCGGAGCAGAACTCGACAGGAAGTAACCGCTGCTGCTTTTCGATTATTGCTCTGACAACTGGATGCAAGGCACTTGAACGTAACTGGATTTAACAGGTCCTTCAAGATAAAGTGAGCACACAACACACCATCGGGACTACGTCTAATTAAGATTTTATTGAGCAATGTAGGGTTGTGCAGTGGAGACACCTACACACATCGAGTAATTTGATGGAGCCGCACGTTACTGAGGTGTGGCAGCTATGCCTGAGTAATTACTGCAGTGTGCCACTACATATCAGCTGTTTCTCAGTATGGCTCAGAAACCACAGACCTGCAAGCCATAACACCACACAGAACATGCAACCTTGTACAACAACATTTCCTAGAAGTACGTTCTGGATGCAGGGATGAAATCAGAGAAGTTGACAATCTGAAGAGCCTATGAAGAATTTTAGTCAGACCACCTTCAAGAAATGAAGCAAATACTCACACGTCATTGAATCCTGCTAGAGAGGTAGCGGGCGAGAAAGCATCTAGTAGACCAATTACCTGCAAGACAGACAAGAGTCATAAATTAGTCTGAAACATGACAACATTAAACGATTAAGGACAGATCATTTTAAAGTCTAAACTGCATTTTAAAGTCTAAACTGCTTTGCTAAACTGCTACTGGGGTAATTGCTTACATCGCAATGTTAAAAATATTACTGTTTTAAACCATGAAGGCAAGCCAATGGATATCAAACTTTGCGCAAGAGTTATGCTGGTGAACATCTTAATCTCAGTCAATTCACTATGCGGTCAGTAAAAGTAAAAAACGGAATGACGGAGTAATGACGGAGCTTTCGGCATCTGACGCGGCATAATCTCTCAGAGACGACAAGAGTCGAATCTACTTCAACATATGCTAATGGTATATAGCTAATTTTTTATTTATTCCTTTAATTTTCTTGTGGCCTGTACATATTGAAAAACAAAAGAAACACATTTCATGTTAAACAGGTTGTTTTTGAAAGTCGGTGCGTTTTTATTGATGACTGCAGTTTTAATATTTTAATCATAGGCCTATAATTCATTGTATAATAGACTTGTTTTTATAACATGGTAATTGAAAAGTAAATAGCCTAATCTTTTGTTATCCTTGCAGCGCGTCAATTATGCGGTAATACTGCGGGGCAAATTAATTGTAATTTTAATTTAATAATAAAAGTAACTTAATAATAATCGGCCTAATGAAAATAGGAATGTAACCGGCCTACATTAATTGGAAATGCCAAATCCTCTTAATATTGCCAATAATTGTTGTTTTTGACGATATCTCTGGCTATCGTCGAGATCATCGTCTTTCGACACACCCCAGCAAGGGGAGGTTATCGCGGGGCTGTCCGCTACGCCACTGGACAGACAGCACGTTGCCCGTTACGTCGTTTAGGCTGTCTTGTTGAGCGCAGTGGCACTGAGAACATTATATTTCGCATCAGAAATAATACGATAACGGCTGTACACAAAGCAGCGCTGCGCTCATAAATGCTGCTTTATCAGGCATTACAGGCAAGATAAAATTAAAATACCATCGAAACAGTCGGTTCCCTTCAGAGACACATATAAACATACCCACGTGGTTAAAGGGATAGTTCATCCAAAAATGAAAATTTGATGTTTATCTGCTTACCCCCAGGGCATCCAAGATGTAGGTGACTTTGTTTCTTCAGTAGAACACATTTGATGATTTTTAACTTCCAACTGTTGCAGTCTATCAGTCGTATAATATATGGCAAGGGTAACAAAATCTATGAGAGTAAAAAAAAACATGCACAGACAAATCCAAATTAAACCCTGCGGCTCGTGCCGACACATTGATGTCCTAAGACACGAAACGATCGGTTTGTGCGAGAAACCGAACAGTATTTATATCATATTTTACCTCTAATACACCACTATGTCCAACTGCTTTGAGTGCGCGCACGGCGTGAGGTGTGTACGCACTCTGGCGTAGTTTACGCAAGCGCCGGAAGTGATCTCTCACGCGTATACGTCACTCATTGTTTACACAGTGCACAGTCATTGTAGGTACGACGGCTAATCAAAATGGTACTTACTTGCGCTTATTTATCTGATAAAAAAAAATAAGTTAAAACAGTAATATTATAAAATTTTGCAATTTTGAATGCATTTTTTAAATATAATTTATTCTTGTGATGCAAAGCTGAATTTTCTGCATTACTCCAGTCTTCAGTGTCACATGATCTTCAGAAATCATCCTACACTCTTAAAAATAAAGGTGCTTCATCATGCCATAGAAGAACCTTTTTGTCTAAATGGTTCCATAAAGAACCTTTAACACCTGAAGAACCTTTCTGTTTCACAAAAGGTTCTTTGTGGCGAAAGAAGGTTCTTCAGATTATAAAAAGGTAAGAAAGATATGGTTCTTTAAAGAACCTTTGACTGAATGGTTCTTTGTGGAACCAAAAATGGTTCTTCTATGGCATCGCTTGAAGAACCTTTTGAAGCACCTTTATTTTTAAGAGTGTAATATGCTGATTTGCTGCTCAAGAAACATTTTTGATTATCATCAATGTTGACAGTTGTGATGATTCATATTTTTGTGGAAACATGTTATATTTTTCTGGATTATTTTATGAATAGAAAGTTAAAAACAACCACATTTATTTGAAATAGAAATCTTTTGTAACATTACGTTTGTATCGTAGTGTACATCTAAATACAATATTTTTAATAATAAAATAAAAATACATTATAATATTACATACAATATAAAATTATATATATAAACATAAAATTTAAAGCTATAATAATAAATATTATTTTTATAATATTATATATTATATTACAAACTTGATCATCATGAAATTAATGAACGATGAGGAGGTGGGTCTTATTTACATCCAAATAGTTATAATGGTAAATAATAATCTACATGGAACAGAACCCAAATCTCCAAAGTGTCACAATAAACTATTTAAATCATTAGGATTCAGACGGATTTACTAAGAAAATATTGTTAGTGTGCCTGTCGCTTACATGTGGAGAAGACTTTTGTCAAATAAGTGGCCAGATAGAGTATTTTATGTCTGTTCATTAAAGTATATACTGCAAAAGACAGTGCTGATTTATAGGTGTGTATATATATATATATATATATATATATATAGGTCTTATTTACATCCAAATAGTTATAATGGTAAATAATAATCTACATGGAACAGAACCCAAATCTCCAAAGTGTCACAATAAACTATTTAAATCATTAGGATTCAGACGGATTTACTAAGAAAATGTTGTTAGTGTGCCTGTCGCTTACATGTGGAGAAGACTTTTGTCAAATAAGTGGGCAGATAGAGTATTTTATGTCTGTTCATTAAAGTATATACTGCAAAAGACAGTGCTGATTTATAGGTGTGTATATATATATATATATATATATATATAGCTTCAGCTATGCAGAACTGTGCAGCTTAGATGGGCACTATGAAACTGGTCCAAAGAGGAATCAAACACACACAAGTCACGCATATGACTGCAACATTTCATCAGAGTGCTGTGTTTTGCTCGTATTACACTGCTCAGTACAGCTAGTGTTTACTACGGTCCTGGACTGAAGCTGCATGTCGGTTGCCACAGTTCGCACTATGAAAAAGGATGAAGAGTCGATCTGTTCAGGGATTTGAGTGTTGTTAAACACTAACATCTGTAAGACAGACAGACAACACCAGGGAACATGAATGCGCTTGCATGCAGGAAAATGGAGGGAGGGAGAGAGAAACAGAGAGCGAGTAGGTGGCTGTGATCCAGCATAGAGTTTCACCCACGCTCAAACAGAGGCTGCACAGATTCCTGGACTCTGGCCAGAAGAGTCCAGTTCTTTTTTTTTCCCTATGCAAAACACGTTGAGTGTCTTGACAACAGCAGGCAAATAAGATCATTCGTACTTACCGTATGCCTGCTGAAAACACAGGCATGCATTTTTGACTAAGGGCGTGCGACATTTATGGGGATTTTTCTGATAGCGATAATTAAACAATATTTTGCGGAGTGTGTTTTTGTGTTGGTACTTTGGCTGCTTTAGACCTGTTGTGGATAAATATGACGCTAAAACTGCCAGTAGGTGGCGGCAAGTCTGTCTTAAAGGGTTAGTTCACCCAAAAATGAAAATGATGTCATTAATTGCTCACCCTCATGTCGTTCCAAACCCGTAAGACCTTCGTTCATCTTCGGAACACAAGTTAAGATATTACTGATGAAATCCGAGAGCTCTCTGACCCTCTCATAGACAGCAAAACAACTGAAACGTTCCCAGGTCCAGAAACGTAGCAAGGACATCGGTAAAATAGACATCAGTGGTTCAACCGTAATTTTGCGAAGCTACGAGAATACTTTTTGTGCACAAAGGAAAAAAAATTACTTTATTCAACAATTCTTCTCATCCCGTCTGCAGTGGTGCGCCGCCATTGTGGAGAGTATCACGACAAGGGCTGGGCGATTATAGCTAAAAAATGTATCAACGATATAATGTTTCATATCGTTCCGTATCAATTATTGACATTTTTTATAACCTTTTTTAAAACAAAGAGCAATATAAAAACTTTTTTTTTATTTAACAACTGTATTTTTAAATTAACCCAATTTATTGAGACAAACAACAAATATTTTTTTTGTTTTAACAGTCAAACACACAATAAAAATTAAACAAATATCTAATTTCTAATGTTTTATATGCAGATTAAATAGGTTTTAAGGAAACTTTTGTCTTGTCTCCCAAAGCCACAGGAGGGCGCAATGAGCAAAATAATGCAGCACAATGTCAACGCATGGAAATAACGGTCTATAAAAAAAACGTCTAAATTAACTCATATAGATCAAATATAGTTTTGTAAATTGCATAATTCAAAAAGTATTCTCGTAGCTTCGTAAAATAATGGTTGAACCCCTGATGTCACATACACTATTTTTACCGATGTCCTTGCTACGTTTCTGGACCTGGGAACATTTCAGTTGTTTTGCTGTCTATGGAAAGGGTCAGAGAGCTTTCTTGAGCCAAGGAAGTTGGACATAGTGTTGTATTAGAGGTAAAAAATGATATAAATACTGTTCTGTTTCTGGCACAAACCGATCATTTCGTGTCTTAGGACATCAATGTGTCGTCACGAGCCGCAGGGTTTAATTTAAATTTGTCTGTGCATGTTTTTTTTACTCTCATAGATTTTGTTACCATTGCCATGTATTATACGACTGATAGACTGCAACGGTTAAAGTTAAAAATCATAATTTGCATTCTACTGAAGAAACAGTCAACTACATCTTGGATGCCCTAGGGGTAAGCAGATAAACATCACATTTTCATTTTTGGGTGAACTATCCCTTTAAGAAATGGGACACCACTACTATACTGTCATACGTCGTCTAGCTCCTACAATACACACACTTATACTTATACCTTCCTATGCGCGCGCACACACACACACACACACACATATCGGAGATCGTGCAGCTCACATATCCAGGAGCAAACAAACTTGTCAATGCTGCCTCGCGACTTTTATTAATAACAGTTTAAATACTGAATCGCTACATTATATTTTCCAGCAACGCTGTTTTGAAGTAAACTCACTCAGTGTAAAGAGAGACGCACAGATGCGCGTACACACAACTTTCATCTCTCTCTCAAATTGGCAATATTTGAGAAAAAGGTTTAGCGATTTCTAATTATCGGGGGGGACTAGCCCCCCTCAATGTCTATGGTGATTATCGCCCTGATCAGACATGAAAATATGTTGTGGCACTATCGTGCAATCAATGATTTAACATTAGCAAACTTTATTTTTTGGCGATTTTTTGCAAACTTTTTTTGTAACATGACCGTAAATATGAACACACGATTGAATATAACAAAAAAATTAGAGGGGAGGAAAATCTTACGTAAAAATCTTACATAAAACAGAATACGAAACGTGGAACGCAACATGTACATTATGCATTTCTTATTTGCAGTGCATTATACATTATAATGCATAATCTCTCCCCACTCCCTCATTAGCTCACAGACAACGATCAATAGAGTTACATTACACACAGATGAATCTCCCACTGGGATCTGTGCTGGCAGAGCATGTGAGGATGCTAGAACAGTCACGAACGTGGAAGTACAGTCAGGAAGTCACAGATTATGTGGAAAAAATACAGTACAAGCCCGTCAAAAGAGGATCTGCATTGTACATGTAGGTGAAATAAAAGAGCTGTAAACATCTTACATTCTCGTGTTTCATGTGTTTGAGGAGCTGCAGTTCTCTGTATGTGCGCTTGGCGTGGATGATGGACTGAAACGGCCGGGACAGCTTCTTGACGGCGACCCTCAGGCCTGACTTTGTGTCTAATGTGGAGCTGCGGAAAAAAGAACAGCACATTATGGATTTGATCAACATCACAGAGTGCAAGATTATCGGAGAGTTTACGCCAAGATTCACAAGCATTCCAAGGAAAAATAACTGTAGGAAAGTTTTGTTAAAGAGAAACACAAGAACATTCATAAAAGGCTATGTCTGAAATCGTTAGATCATTTGAAATGGAATAAATGGTTTAAAAAGCATGAAATGCTCAACTGCCGTAATAAAAGTGGCATGTTTTCATACAGCAAGAGTAAGAACAATAATTCTCATATACTATTTTTGTTTGTTCGAATTTTTGAAAATGAGAACAGTGGTTGTAAGGAGAGGTGGTTGTCAGGACATTGCTTTGAGGTTGCTAGGGCTTTCTGTTTTTTTTTTGGGTCCATTTAACAGTCTACAAGGTGCAAGTCCAGAATTATTAATACTGGCACTGGCTACGTTCAAACGCACAGCATTTTCTGATTATGGGGGGAGGGGCTTTAACTTGATCCACAGCAATTGGAATATTCCTGTAAGCATGTCATTTGCATATTCTGAACAATCTGAATAAAATACAGAAGGCTGCAGTCACTTTAAGACCTAATTAGGGTTGGGTATCGTTTGTTTGGACATCTTAGATATAAACGTAGGGCTGTATGATATGGACAAAAAAATACTATCACAATTTTTTGATCAATATTGCGACTTCCATTTTAATCATGATTTTGACACAATATTTACTTACATACACACACACATGCTTTAAAATCATAAATGTAACACTCTGCTTGCCCACATATATGAAGTAGATGTGTAGTATTTCACATTTTAGATAGCAGTAGTAAACTTTCAATTTAGATACCACAGCAAAAACTACTAACCCAAGTAATATAAAGTGCACACATTATTAAATTGAAAACAGGAACAAAATAAGAACAACTAAAATTAAAAGTAATAGCAAATAAATACAACAGAACAAAGATACAAATAAATAAATCAGTATTTCATTTAAGTATTAAATGCATTTCTTTTTCAACTCTTTGTTAACTTAAGCGCAAATTCGGTGAGAGACGGCTTAGAAGAGAGTAGATGAGTCATGCTTTACAGTAACAAAAAATATTAATTACTACCTTTTGCTTTTCCATCTTATGCTGTATATAACTTATATGGCAGGGATGGGGCGACTAAGGGGTTTGGGGATTGGGACAACAGTGGTTGGTCATTGTACAATTAAACTTTTTTTTTTGTAGATAAGCTCATGGATTTTATTATTAACTACCTCAGACAGACCAATGCTATATGCCTTACATCTACAAACCAGAATATTGTCTGAATCTGGTTATGGTTATTCAATTTACACGCTTCTTAATTCAGAAAGTAACCATATTCTGATTAATATAGGAATATTCCTGTACTGAACATGTCATGCCTTAGCAAGAACCACTAATAACTATAATTTCCACAAAATGTCACCCATAATACAATGTTCTGCTCGATTCACAAAATTCATATTCATATCATGAAGTCCTGCCAAACGGCATCCAGCCCCAATTTCATTTTCCAAACAACTTTGGAACAATGGAAGCGCAGTAACCATGGCAGCCCAGGCTGGTGTGGTCAGGAGAGCGAACAGGCTTTCCAAGAAGTGCAAGTAGGCCAGTCTCGCAAATGGAAGGAGACAAAGTTTCTTGCACTATTAGCATTCTCCAAAGAACACACCTCGCCAAAGCGTCTGCCGGCCCAGACAAATAATAACACACTCTGTCACAGACCAAACCACAAGAAACCATCATGGAAAGAACATCAACTTACAGTACAACATACAAGCACTCTAAAACTAATCAGCTAGGATTACAGCTCAGCTTGAATGAATGCATCCACACATATACACAATTAATATATTGCATCCATACATATAACATATTGTAGCCTATATAATATATATATATATATTTTTTTTTTTACTGTGTCACATGCCTGAAATGATTGTATATTCACACCCCTGGGGAAAAAATTGGCCTCATAGGAACACATGCAAATTTTAATGATGCAAAAGAATTGATAAGACTGTAGATAAATCACGATCAGGCATACAGTTTCGACAGACACAATGCCAACAGGGAGGTCAAAATCTATACAGCTTTACTGTTGAATCTTGAACAAATGTTGCTCTTCTCTTACATAACAATCGGTGCATGACTCAAACTAACTTGATGGGGAACTAGGCATAGCTGAAGCCTCTCCACTGCAGACGATAAAGGGTGTGGTGTTTATGGGAGATGTCTACTTACAAGCATTGTGAACAGGCTGAGCATTAGGAACAGTTCGAGTGATATACATCGGCTGGGTGGCTGTGCTGAAACAGAAAACAGCTGCACGCTAGACAGCAACCAGGTACAGGACTGGTGTTCCACATGCATGGGTTTGATCCAAAACAAAGATCTAGCAGAGAGCCGAGCCAATGACTCAGTGCTGATTGTGAAACATGGGAAACCACCACAGTGCGCAGGAAAAGTCCCATTTCTCTATCAAACCAGGACACGCTGACACAGACCATAATGGACATTGTGATTAGTGATGATGAAGCCTCAAGCTCTTCCTCCGTATCAATTCAACTCAAAAGCGACTATGAACAGCCTGTGGTCATTTACAGCTCATCAGAGATTTTTCCAGGTTTTAAGTGCACTGTTTAAGTTTTAATCAGGTCCCCGGTGCATCTACCAACCAAGGAAATGTGAAAAAGATTAACCCAGTAACTTTGTTTTGGTAAGCCTTTTTCTGCAAGCGTCTGAGAAAACGAGCGCGTCAGATTTCACTCCCTTGGTGACGTGGCAAAGGGATCTCATCATAATATTACCGCCCCTTAATCTGTAAGTTTCCACCCACGGCGCCGTCATTTTGATTTAGCAAGCTACAGCGGTACCAGCTCTAATGCCATGGCGAAAGTTTGAGTAAAACACGCTAACTGTTCTGTCTTTGGCTGCACAGACGAGCACAGAACACTGTTTAGAGTCCCAGCCTCAGAGGAGACAAGAGAGCAGAGGATTTATTGATTTACTGTATATCTGCTGCCACACAGATCTAAAATAAACATGCAATTTATTTCCCAGATGTTTACCTTGACAGACATAACCGACTGTTTGTAACTCATGTGTGTTTTTAACGTAAACTTGTGTGTGAATGAGAACTTAGTTTAGTACTCTCATGCTGTGACAGCCGCTTTCTGTACGTGTGCACTCAGAAAACACACAAGAACAGAAGTTTAAACGCATACGGTTTAAAACGCATGATTTCAACGCGATAAACATGATAATCAGAACCAAAACGGGTGTCTTTTTAGCAGGTCCGAGCTGTAATGGCGCAGCTCTATTCTGGAAAAGGGGGCGGGGAGCAGCAGCTCATTTGCATTTAAAGAGACAGGCACGAAAAACAGCGCGTTTCTGCTTCCACTCAAAATAGGCATTTTCAAAATTATATTATAAATGATCTGTGGAGTATTTTGAGCCGAAACTTCACAGACACATTCTGGGGACACCAGAGACTTATATTACATATTGTAAAAAGGGGCATAATATGTCTCCTTTAAGTTTTTTAAGTCAGTGGAACTATCACGTATTTTTCCAAGCTGTTCGTTGAATCCTAACTCTCAGTATCAGTGGAGACTCCAGACTGTTGACTTTGCAGTACAAACACATAATATCTGAAAAGAGACATGGCAGTTTTTTCACCTATTTTTCTACATTAACCATTGCTGCTTGGGCCCATGCTCTTGCAAACTATTCCAACTCAGACTTTTACGTATTAAAAAAAAAAAAACTTTGAAAGAGTTGTCAGAAGTTGACATTGAAATGTTTCTTTACAGCCTATGGTTATCCGTTTACTTCTGCCAATTGTATTTAGGCTTAAAATTCAAAGCGGTGTTTTTTCTGTGAAGATTATCATGAAGAATGAGTAAGAATCATTAACTTTTGTCGGCCACCGAGCTTATTTTCAGCAATAATTGCATTACTGTAAACATTTTTTGTTACTTTTGTCATGAACTGACTGAGGTTAACTATTTTATGTACTGAACGTGGAATGTGCCTTCAACACAATGGCAAGGGAGACAGTTGTGGATTCAGTTCGACCTTGCCTAGAACACGAACAACTTGTGCCAGAGCAAGAAAAACAAACCCCAGCAAAACAGGCCTGAAGTAGGCCAAAGGGGTTTCCAGCAAAGAGAGTCAGTCACTGTGTTCGCTCAGCTAGATTACAAATAGCTCAGCTTAAACGAGTGAAGAAGAAAAAAAACTCACAATGTGCTTTCCCTCTGCTGTTTTTATCGTATATCATGTTCTTGACAAATGCACTCGGATGATAAACACCACTGTTTCTCATTCAAATAACGACTCTGTGTTTTACGGATGGATTTTCTCTCTGATCCAGCCGCTTCAAGAGAAAACCCCAAACTTCCAGAGCGCTGCAGTCAGTGCCTTCTGGCAGAATCCACCTCTATTCTGTCAAATAACAAGTCCTGAACAATGTGGGACATTTGCAAACACTCACAGCCTGGAAAGTCATGAAATTTCTGTGCATCACACAGACTAAAAATCCCACTGGTGCTCCAACAAAACACTCCTCTAACAACCCAAACAGATTTCAACATCAACTGAACAACGTTACAGTGGTAATATAGGTGTCTGATCCTCAAATTTGATTGGCCAGGCGGCATGATGTTTAGTATAGAGTGCAACAGTCAGGTTTCTGAAGTAAAAATCCCATTCAATTTCTCCATAAGATTTTTTATTTTTTTTGCGTGTATTATGATAGGACCGTTTAGAGGTGTGGCAAAGTGGGAGAGAGAGAGGGGCGGTATTGGGAAAGGTCCTTGAGCCAGGATTCGAACTCGGGACTGAATGTCGGCGCGCTGCCCACAAGGCTATCGGCGCCGACAGGGAACAGTATTGCAGAATGTTTCTTATCTTAGGTCTTAACTGAAAGGGCTCATATGATGCGATTTCAAGTTTTCCTTTCTCTTTGGAGTGTTACAAGCTCTTGGTGCATAAAGAAGATCTGTAAAGTTGTTTAAAAGCGAGAATAAAAGTTACGGCTTCTTTCTTTACGTGAACATTTGGGCAGTGTTATGCAAATCTTCCCACATAGTGAGGTAGACATGTGGGGGCGTGTTAGAACGAGCCGTTTTAGGGGGGCGTGGTTGACTCTTAACTTTTATAAAGAATATCTCTTTGGATTTGAGACTTTAGTCTTTGCAACTTTACAGATCTTCTTTATGCACCAAGAGCTTGTAACACTCCAAAGAGAAAGGAAAAATTGAAATCGCATCATATGACCCCTTTAAATTGCATTATCAAGTTCGACAATCCACCCTCAGCTCTGTTATCAAGCAGCCAACACTGCGCAAGCTGCTGACAAAATGAATAAAAAACAGTGAGCTTTTAATTTCAGTGGCGTGGAAATGGAAACTTTTAATACGTTCGGTAGAAAAGGCAAAGTCGATACTATTTGGTAAGTTTTCAGCGTCGCTCACTCGCGAAGACAAAGACAGGGAGTGGGGCAAGAGTTGTCGAAAATGTGTCTTTCTACCATTTAACATCTCCGTTCTTCATTTGCAATTATTAATAAATGTAATACCATTGTCGGACAGCGCAATTGTAAGCGTTTTTTCCATTAACTTTCAAATATGGCAGGCATAGCAGATCCCGCCATTGTCATTGCCGGGGTTTTGTACGTGCGTGTGGGGCGGAGATATCAAAACAGGGGTGAGGTCTAGTTAGGGTCTGTTTTGGTGCTTTCAAATGTCAACGTCGTCTGGCAAAATTCGCTTAGTGCACCTTTAACAGTAACTACGAGGTTGTTTGTCTATGATATATGCTTCTGTTAAAGACATCAGCCTGCATTATTCAACTTATTTGAAATAATCAAGTTCAAAAGTGGAATTCCAGGTGAAAAACTACATTACCCATGATTCTGCAAAGAAATCTCCACCAATCAGATAATCGAAACATCCCACAAGAACTCTTTAGTGCCCGCCCGCTCTCATCGTACTTATATTTGTGTGTGTGTGTGTGTATATATATATATATGAAGATTTTGCAATAAACATACAATGTTATTTCTAATTAACATCTTCAAATCAAAATTTATATATTTTTTTTTATTTAATTTATCGGTGGATTTTTAACTCTTTCCCTGCCATTGACAGAATTTTCCAGCTATCGGTGTTGACAGAAACAAGTGATAGCATGTAGAAGCAGACGCATATGTAAAATAATTTACAGCATATAAATCAAAACTGCCCAATGTTACCGAAATAAAATGTCGACCCAGGATTCAGGATGTTAATTTGATTTTTTCATTACAACACTTCCTTCAGTGAAGCCTTTGTCTTTTTGTACAATTTTCAAATACTTTTTGTTTCAAATCATAATTTTGTAATAATGCTGTGATTGACCTCATAGCTGGTTGGCTTGGTTCATGGCTTATAACTCCTTAACAAAGACTTTTAAAAAAGCCCAGTGGAATAAATGACTGGGCAAAATATTATATAACTGCTCCAAGGTGTTTCACGGTTTATGATTCCACTTGTCTTTTACAGCGGTGCAGGCCAGAGTATGTGAGCGGAGTTGACTGAAGCAGATTTTTGGAAAGCACCTACATTTTCTCCTTCTCAGAGTGGGTGGGAAAGGGAAAAAAAACCAGAGTGGATTCCAGAACGTTTTGTTACATACAGATTAAAGTACACACGCTGTCTGGTGACACCCTGAGCTAACTATTTATTTGATACAGAAAAAAAATATGTATGGCGTGCACAAGATGCCCTGTTCTCATGTCAGGGTTATAAAAAGTGGCTTTACAGAACGAGTGCTTCCTGTATGCCAAGAAACACGTGGCAGGAGTGTTACAGCTTCATGCAGGAGCAGGAATGATTGACAGTGAACACACTTGAACTGCTTGATCTACCAGACTTGCAAATGTCTTGGGAACACACACAATGGAGCTCTATTTACATCTCTGCCAGAGGACACCGCTAGGACAGGATCCGCCCACATTATTAGGGACTGTCCAGGAAAACGAAAGACACACCCTCCTTCAGACATATCGAGGCCAGTGACTCGTCCTTGATGTCAGCAGCAGCATGCAAAGCAATGCTGGCTTTTCCTTCCCGAAATCCTCAAAGCCACATGCCAAACATTTTTGCTTTTATTGAACCTTGCATTAGCCAAACACGCACAGATACGACGAGCACGATCAATGGATTTCCTGCAGAGGTTTGGTCGCCGCTCGATGTCTGATGTCAAATCTGGGTCCTGAAGGAAAACCCCTAATCTAGAGCTTTGGAGTAAATGATGTAATATTGAGAAGAGGTTTCGGAGAACACCTAATCCTGGAGCTATGAGTCAGAGCAGAGTGACTGCATTCTGTCCTCACGCACAGACCTTCACTTCCAACAGCTTCACTCCGTTTTTTGGCCAAGCCAATGTTTTCTCCTGGTTTAAATGAGATTTCTGATAGCATTTTTCTTAACCGATGTATATATGTACTTCATCCATTTACATTACTACATTTTTATTTTTTTTATTTAATCAATATTTACTTTATTGATTATTTCCATGCATGATTGTCTTTTTATATTAGATGTAATATCCCAAACAGAGATTTAGGCTGATTACATTTTTTTAATATATTTTTATTTATTATTACCTTTTACTTTTGTTTTATTATTTATTGACTTTTTACACAATAACAACCAATTACTACTGTGTTTATATTATTATTTGTATATTATTAATTTATACCATTTAGCAAAATTATTTTATTTTATTATAAGTTATAAATTATTTTATGTATGATTTTCATTTATACTAGATGTTTGATTATTTAGTTTTAATCATGTTTACATTTAAATTATTTTATTGGATTTTTACACTATATATACACACACATATACATATATATATACATAAATATACACATATATATATATATATATATATATATAATTTGTGTGTATGTGATATGATATAACTAACGAGGTCATATTCAGAAGACAATGAAACCGAAACCAAATAGCATTGAAACAGGAAGTGAAGTAAACAGAAGAGAATGACAAAATAATGGTCCACTTAACAGAACATAAACCTGACAATAAGATCATTAGGCTATTGTTAGCCTATATGTATAACAGTTAGCCTAGTTGTAATCTGATGTATGATTTTCATTTATACTAGATGTTTGATTATTTAGTTTTAATCATTTTTACATTAAAATTATTTTATTGGATTTTTACACTATATACACACATTTTATATATACGTATATACATACATACATATATATATATATGTGTGTGTGTGCGTTTAAAATATATATATATACACACACACACATACACACTTTTCTATAAATTATTGAAACTCATTAAATTATTAAAATAATTATTAAAATGATTAAAACTTCAAAAGCCATGGTGTTAAGACTAAGAGTGCTCTTTGCTGTTGCAAGACCTTTCTTTTGCAAAAGAGTATGTTCTGGCTCGACTTGCAACGCTGCACCGTGACTTTCTTCACAGACTGGAAAACACGCTGTGGATCAAACACAAGAGATCTTGTCACGCAAGACTTTAGGCACGACATCCAGTGAGGTTAGATATTTACCACACGGTTCCGTAAGCTCCAGAACCCACGGGCGACAAGTTCTGGTAGCGCTCCGGCACCTCCCATATGGTCTTATTGAGCTCCTGTCGATAGAAAGTCGGTCTCTCCTTGTGGGACATTCCTGTAGTTAGAGGAGTGGAAACTTCTGTGCTGCTCTGTTGATCTCAGTGCTCGAGATACACGAACTAAACCCGCTAAACAAAAGCGCAAGCTCCGCGTTCACAATCCAATCATGGCTTCGGTCAAAAGCATGGGCGCGAGCGCCGAGGGTGCTGCTCCTCGAGGAGCTGAGGTTCTTCTGCGCGCGCCTCTCTCTCTCTTACAGGCTCTCCTCTGACGAACACGCGTGGCGTCACGGCTCAAGGGCAACTCTCGGGACTCCGCCCCAAACCTCGCGAGAGCGAGAACTTTCGTTTATTATGATTGATGATTATTAATTATAAGCAACGCCTAAACAAGATATGTATACAGAGTAGCTGTATAAACTATGTTGTCAGCAGTTAAATTAAGTAAACAAATTATAAATACATGTTATATTTATTATATATAATGAAGTGCAAATGAAGTGAAGTAGCAAGTGTTTAGCACAGTACTATTGTACTAATTGTATATAATGTGTGTGTGTGTGTGTGTGTGTGTGTGTGTGTGTGTGTGTGTGTGAAACAGTTGGAGCCAGTTTATGGAACTGTCCCAGTAATATTAATGACTAATTATAGGCTATGCTTTTATCTTCTTCTTTTCTATTGGACATTAGAATATGTGTTAATATCTCTTAACATTTTCAGATACCCGTCAAAAAAGACAGTATTGCTTTGATACGTCTCAAGAATAATAATTAAAAAAAATAATAATAATCCTTTCGTCAATAAAACAAAATAAGCATTGGTTATTATAGTACAATAGTACTGCGCTCAATACTTGCTACTTCACTTCATTTGCACCTCATTCAGGAGTGCTGATGACAAACGCTATGATTGGTTCATCATTAAAATCGCGGAGAAAAGTAACAGGTAACACATGGTGTTGTTTGGGGGCGACATAAACAAAAACTTGGCAGTGGAATTTTATAGCCACTGAAATTAAAGTGCAGAGTGAATAGTTAACATTGCATCACTGGCATTTAAACGATCTCAACAGCACTGATTTAAATATATATCACATAACCCTCCTGACACTGACTCTGCTACACACATCCAAAACTAAAGACAACTACTGAACACACCTCTAACTTTACGTTTTCTTTAATCACCAGGCAAGTGAACAGAGAAACGAAGTTTTCTAAAACTCTGAATCAATCCGTGAAGTGATGAATGCTTGCTTCGCTGAGGACATCTGCTGGACAAACACGTGTCAGCGCAAAAGAAAGCCTCTAAACAATAGTACAGATCTTCGGAGAATTTATTTGCATTAAAGGGGTCATATGATGTTGCTAAAAAGAACATTATGTTGTGTATTTGGTGTAATGAAATGTGTTTATGCGGTTTAAGGATCAAAAAACACATTATTTTCCACATACTGTACATTATTGTTTCTCCTCTATGCCCCGCCTTTCTGAAACGCATCGATTTTTACAAAGCTCATCGGTCTGAAAAGCGAGGTGTGCTGTGATTGGCCAGCTATGTGATCTACACATGTTAATAATCACAGAGAAAAAATATTTTAGCCATTTTACTTACTTGAATGTAGATTCATCCAGTCCAGTAAAACAAGATGGCCTGCTTCAAGGGAAGTTTGCAGGTTGTGTGAATTTATTACCAGGTAAATAGGCCTAGTTTTCAAATCTAGCATCCAATAGCATTGCAAGGCTGAAGATTAGGACCCATTAGTTGTGTAAATGTGGTCTTAGAGAGAAAACAAAACATGAGCAGCTTTAGTTTAGTCAAGCTAAAACTGAGTGGGCCTTACAGGGTTAATCTGGTTTTTCTTGGCTTATACTCGTTAAATACACAGTTAATAGTAAAGTACTTATGTTTTATTTGTGTTTGTGTCATAAACATATTTCTGAAAATGTGCAAAATTAGTTCATTGGCTTCCATTGTTTGCAGAGGCTGTGTAACATGTGTGTCACAGTGTTAGCACACACACACACACACACACAAGAAGAAACGTCTTCACACACAGTATTGTGTTGCATAGGATTTTATATCAAACATTTACTATGTTCCACGTTTACAAATATGAACCCCCAACAGCTATAATTTTCTATAGAGCAATTACTGTGTACATTTACAGGCTAAACGAAACGTTTTACTTCAATTGTTGACTTTTGAACATGAAGAGTTGATGATAGGGTCAGATATGCTTTAGGACATGCATTTGAATGCATAAATACAAAAGAGCATGTGCACATTTATGCCGTGTAATAGACAAAACAGCATCAATACAAGAAAAGGGAGTCCACACATTTAGCATCAGCAGAAGCATCCTATGTTAATTCTTGACTTAAAGCAGCACTGTGTAACGTTTGGCACTCTAGCGGTTAATAAACAGAACTGCACACATCTCGCGGAGGAACATTCCAACCGGAGCTACTTCTCTAAGTTTATGTCTATGGCGAGTCACGCAGGTATGTGTTACTCCGCAGCGGCGACGACCCGAGCAGGCTACACTAGTCCAAATATAAGCACTTATAATAAGGAATAAGACAAAAACGCGCTTTGGAAGATGAATTCATGATGTACTCGCTCATTATACATTTTGCTAATTTTGAACACAGTTACATTGTGCTGCTTTAAGTGTTAAAAAGTGACATTAGCATGGTTAATAAACAGTTAGCAAGCTGAAACCCTCATACGATTATATTTAAGATCTAACTTGTAGTGTATTTCCCCAATAATATCATATTATCCACATTTAATATGAAAGCATGCCCATATGTTTATTGTGGTTTTATGTGAGCCAGGTTAGCAGTGTATTTATCAAACTGAACCAAACACGTCTTTACAAAGAATTCACATGGTGTACATTATACACTTTTAAAAATGCTGGGTTAAATAACATTTAAACATTTAACCCAACCGCTGGGTCAAAACAACCCAATTGCTGGGTTTGTCCATATTTTACCCAGCACTGGCTTGTATTTAACCCAGCATTTTTTTTTAGAGTGTAATATTCCAGGACATATGTGGTATCAAAATATAATGTTGTACAAGTTTTGTTTCGATCTAATAGCATGAGTAGTTTGTCTATTTTAACATGAAAGTTTCCATGAAGTCTATGGAAAACTTCCATGCTGCAAACAACAGGTCTTTTATGTTTATTACAAACATTTGAATCTGAATGATGGCATAAGCCATTCAGGATGCCAAAAGCTAAAATATGGAAGCTCTCAGTAAATGGCATTTTAATAAAAACAACGTTGTACAAGATCACATCGTTTTTCTGCCTTCTTAACTGTATCCCTCTAAGCCCAAGCAAAAAGTGTGCGTGTCTGAGAGAACAACACAAGAAAAAGATGTGACGTTTGAATCCATAAGTAGGTGCTTCAGTTACCGTTTCACTCGTAACTCATAACTAAAACAGAGTTTACCCGAAATCTAATCTTAAGTTAAACATTTACAAAAATGCAAAGCAGGTCTTAAATGGGTGTTAAACCGCAGGTGGAGTCGGCTCTCTGTGCATCTCCTCCAGCAGCCGGCGATACTCGCCAGCAATCATTTCTATTGGCGTTCAGTCCAGTGTCCAGAGAGAGCGATTCATCCGGGTCATTTCAGAAAAATCAGGTAGAACGCCATACACATACAGGACGCCGCCACAGCGATGTGGAGCCGTGTGCCTATTACTGCAGCTGCAGACAGAAGAGAAAACACAGAGCGTGAAAACTCACTGCAGCATAATGATCTTCAGTACAGCTCCAACAGAGCACTAACCTTTGTAAAAGACTCCCCAGACACCCTTCTTCTCAGACAAGAGCCAGCTGTTCAGACGAGGGACCTTCTTCAGGTAAGCACACGTGCAAACGAAAAGAAGCCCGAATACAAGAATGCCATCGAAAGAGTACACTGTGAATGAAGAGCACACTGTGTTACAAGTAGGGCTGGGTATCGTGCAAAAAATTTCGATATCGATACCGATACCTTGACTTCGATACCGGTTCCTGAACGATACTTTTTCGATACCTATTTTATGAAATCAATTTGAACAAGATTACATTATCTAAAAAAATGTTTTAGCTTTTTATTTTTCAGCTTGTTGACGTTTATACAAACTCAAAGACTCATCTCCTGAGCCACTGCACAAAGGAACAAAATGTAACCAACACAATAAATCAGTGCAAACTAGTTTTAATAAAGCTCAAATAGTCTTCAGTTTACACATCCTTTAGGCTACATTTACACTAGTTAGTGTTCGTTTTAAAACGCATAGCTCAGACAGAATCATGATTTCTATTTATTTTACACTGATTTACTGATGAGGATTAGCAGCTTCCAGCGCGGTCTGCTTGTGTTCTCTCTTCCATGATCACTGCTCCGAGTCAGAGGTAATAACATATTTAATTTCAGCAACATTAGATGGCCAAAACACACATTAGACGGCAATCGGAAGTTATTACAAACACTCGATGGTGGTTTAAAGTGAGTTTTGAGTAAAAGCGGAATATAAATCTTATTTATTGTCTTATGTAGCATGATGCTACAGTTTGCATGAATGGTCACATAACACGCGCTTTCAGTCGTGTAGTATGAACGGACATCTGCATATGATCGGAACTCCACGCAGCTCGCGCGCTACTCTCCATTGGAAATGAATGACTGAATGACCGGTCTGTCGCTTGTCGGAGATAGTGGAAAGCAAGCTTGAAAAGCAGTGGAAACGTCAGTATGACGAGGATCGTTTTCATTTTAACACATAAACGCACCAGTGTAAATGTAGCCTTACATCTAATGGGGCTGGGACGCATTCACACTTCAGCCTCATGTGTGCGCCACATCTCTGAGTGTAACCGGTGTTAAGTAGTAGGTGTGTTTGACTTGACGCGGGCTGACTGTGCAGTGCAGACCGATAAATAATACAGTATTACAGTACCACGAGAGCTAAAGAGAGCAGACATGAATGGTCACATAACACGCGCTTTCGGTCGTGTAGTATGAACGGACATCTGCATATGATCGGAACTCCACGCAGCTCGCGCGCTACTCTCCATTGGAAATGAATGACTGAATGACCGGTCTGTCGCTTGTCGGAGATAGTGGAAAGCCGGCTTGAAAAGCAGTGGAAACGTCAGTATGACGAGGATCGTTTTCATTTTAACACATAAACGCACCAGTGTAAATGTAGCCTTACATCTAATGGGGCTGCGACGCATTCACACTTCAGCCTCACGTGTGCGCCACATCTCTGAATGTAACCGGTGTAAAGTAGTAGGTGTGTTTGACTTGACGCGGGCTGACTGTGCAGTGCAGACCGATAAATAATACAGTATTACAGTACCACGAGAGCTAAAGAGAGCAGACTGCTCCGTGCGCTTTCGAATCGCTCTCGCAGATGTCAAACACTGATCGATCTGCGCCACGCCGCACCTCTTCTAGTCGAACACACCGGCTAGTGCTGCAGGCTTATTGGCGCTGATGAGATTAACCCCTTAGGTCTCGAAATGTGGTACCGAACGATGAGACGTTTTTCGATACTCGATGGTATCGAGGCAATTCGGTCGGTGCCTAAAAAGTATCGAACTCGATACCCAGCCCTAGTTACAAGCAGCTTAAAACATGTGTTTTAAATTGAATTTTACTTCAAGTAAAACTTTTTTGAAAATAATTTTAAGTGATGTTTAGGTATGTTGCCTATGGGAAACACTATGTATTTTAACGCAGATTTTTAATGTTTATGATCAAAAGTACAATAAAATGAAATATTCGTACAATTTAAAATGAATATTTTCTATATAATTATTTTAAATTATACTCTCTCTCTCTCTCTCTCTCTCTCTCTCTCTATATATATACTTTCGATATGTAATTTATTTCTGTGATCAAAGCTGAATTTTCAGCATCATTACTCCACACACAAGTGTCACATGGATCTTCAGAAATAAGTCTAAAATGCTGATTTGCTGCTCAAGAAAACATTTATTCTTATTAGCAATGTTATACTTGGTGTATTTTGATCAAATAATGCAGTCTTGGTGAGCATAAGAGGCTTCTTTTAAAATCTTAACTATTCCAAACTTTTGACCGTGTATGTGTTTGGGTCAAAGACGAAAAAGGGTTTAAGCATAAAAAAAAGTGTAATACTGCTTTAAATTGTTGTTTTTCCCCAAAAAATGTAAAACGTTTTTTTGTTTAATTTAATTGCAACACACACACACACACGGCTCCATAATGAACCACATCCACACACACACACACACACACACTCAGCTCCATAATCACC